CATGTGCATTCATGAGTTCTTCACTCATTAAACTAACAAGTAACAATGCACTTCAATTATTCACCACATATCAACTTCAAAACATTAATATTTTGACAAAAACAAAACTCAAGCGCAATGGCCAAATCACACCAAATTTTCCACCAACAATGTAGTTTCTTCCATGAGACCACTGCCAACAATAACAAAACTTTAGTACTTTACGCCCTTCTTCATTGTCTTGACCACTTGAACTTTTAAGGTAAAACCAAAAGTTAGAATACTACTTTTAAGATTAGAAAAAAATATAATCAAATAAATATCTTATTGAACTCACCACTACTAAATACTTGAGAATTACAATCATACATCAACAATGCAAGAGCTTCTTCCACTATTTGTCATCTCTAAAAATAATAAAATCAAATATGTCATACAACACTAAGGATTTTATTTTTTTCGAAAACAAACAAAAAATACAAAGTTCAATTTTCTCAAGAAACTCCAATTTTCTTCAACACAAATAGGATTAGTCTCTTGTCTAAGTCAACCTTGGACACAAATAAGAGACATTGCACACATTTGGGAGTCCATGAACTTCTAAATGGATCAAGAATACGACCACGGGTGCTAAATGCACATTCGACATAGGAATAATCCATACATCTCAAGCCAACTGTGAAAGTATAAGAAACTTAGTAGAACTTTTCACCAAATTAAGATATCAAAATCCTCAGATTCAGGCTTTTCAACAAGGTATCTTTCTAGCTCAGATTTAGTGCCTCAACTTTCAGAATCTTTCTTTTGTTTCTTCATGTAAAACTTAGTTCTAAATTTTGAGAAAGACCACAAATAGATGATTGATTCTTAGAACCTTTTGAATAGTTACTTACACAGACCGCAAACAATTCCTTCAAGTAAGTTTCTTTACTATTTTTCTCTTTTCTTCCCCAAGTAATTCTTCAAGAGCAAAACTAACGTACACAAACTTATTACGAGGATCTAACACAGAAGCAATAAAAAGCATTTTGTTCATCTTTTCAGGAGTACCCCAATAAGTCTTAAACTTTTCTTTCATCCCCACTTCACGCAAATCAACATCATCACTTGTCATACACTCTTTCAAATATGCATCAAGCTCACATATATCCTCAAAATGAACATTACAAGTAACATACTATGAACCTAAAACTTTCAATGTGAGCTCATAAAATTTTTCAAGAAACTATGTGATATTCCTCACATCAACTTAATCATCATTTTGGATTGAACCTGCAATACTAACATCTTCACAAAATCAGTAGCAAGATCGGAATTAAAGTTACCATCATAAAGATCAAACCTCTCAAAGGCCTACTCAAACTTTTCCGCAACATCAAATAGGTAGAATTCCACCTAGTAGGCACATCTAAAAATAACATTTTATCACATTCTATCTTTTGCATTTCAAGATTTTTTTTGTCCTTGGAGAAGATGATCTAACATATTTCACCATTTGTGTTACCCGTTTGATAGAAGAACCAATTTCTTTCAAACCATCTTGCACAATTAGATTAAGTATGTGAGTCATACATCTCATGTGGAGATGCTTACCATTCATCATATTAGTTTCCCACATATCTAACTTTCTAGACAACTCTGTAACTGCGACATTATTGAAGAAGTATTATCTACAATAACAATGAAGACATTGTCCAAGTTCCAATCAAGTAAACAATTACTAATAGACTCTACCAAATGCTCGCCTTTATGACTAGTGATAGGACAAAAAGTTAATATTCTTTTATGAAGCACCCAATTCCTATCAATAAAGTGAGCTGTCAAACACATATAATTAATTATTTGCAGTCAAACACATGTGTTTGACTGCTCACTTTATTGACAGGAATTGGGTGCTTCGTAAAAGAATATTGAATTTTTGTTTTATCACTAGCCATAAAGGTGAGCATTTGGTAGAGTCTATTAGTAATTGTTTACTTGATTGGAATTTGGACAACGTCTTCACATGTTATTGTTAATAATGAATGCTTCTTCAAATAATGTCGCAGTTACAGAATTGTCTAAAAAGTTAGATATGTGAGAAACTAATATGATTAATGGTAAGCATCTCCACGTGAAATATATGGCTCACATACTTAATCTAATTGTGCAAGATGGTCCGAAAGAAATTCGTCCTTCTATCAAACGAGCAAGGCAAATGGTGAAATATGTTAGATCATCTTCTGCAAGGACAAAAAACTTTTTGAAATGTGTAGAAATGCAAAAGATAGAATGTGATAAAATGTTATCTTTAGATGTGTCTGCTAGGTGGAATTCCACCTATTTGATGTTGGACACGTCAGAAAAGTTTGGGAAGGCCTTTGAGAGGTTTGATCTTTATGATAGTAACTTTAATTCTTATCTTGCTACTGATGTTTGTGAAGATGGAAGTAAGATGGAAGTATTGAAGGTTCAATCCAAAATGATGATTGGGTGAAGGTTAGGAATGCCACAAAGTTTCTTGAAAAATTTTATGAGCTCACATTGAAAAATTCAGGTTCACAATGTTACTTGTAATGTTCAATTTGAGGATATTATATGAGCTTGATGCATATTTGTAAGCGTGTATGACAAGTGATAATGTTGATTTGCGTAAAATGGTTGTGGGGATGAAAGAAAAGTTAAGACATATTGGGGTACTCCTGAAAATATGAATAAATGTTTTTTATTGATTCTGTGTTGGGTCCTCGTATAAGTTTGTGTACGTTAGTTTTGCTCTTGAAGAATTACTTGGGGAAGAAAAGGGTAAGATAATAAATAAAGAAACAAAAACTTACTTGAAGAAATTGCTTGTTGTCTATGTAAGTAAGTATTCAAAAGGTTCTAAGCATCACTCATCTTCATCTGATTCATCTACTTGTGGTCTTTCTCAAAATTTGAGAACTAAGTTTTACATGATGAAACAAAATGAAGATTCTGAAAATTTAGGCACTAAATCTGAGTTGGAAAGATACCTTACTGAAGACCAAAGACCAAGAGCCTGAACCTGAGAATTTTGATATCTTAATTTGGTGGGAAGTTAATTCTCCTAGGTTTCCTATACTTTCATAGTTGACTCGAGATGTATTGACTATTTCTATGTCGAGTGTGGCATTGGAATGTGCATTTAGCACCGGTGGTTGTATTCTTGATCCATTTGGAAGTTCATTGACTCCCAAATGTGTGCAATGTCTTAATTGTGTCCAAGATTGGCTTAGACAAGAGACTAATCCTAATTGTGTTGAAAAAAATTTGGAGTTTCTTGAGAAAATTGAACTTGGTATGACTTCATATTTTTTGTTTGTTTTCGCAAAAAATAAAATACTTATTGTGTTGTATGACATATTTGATTTATATTTTTAGAGATGGCAAATAGTGGACAAAACTCTTGCATTGTTGATCTATGATTGCAATTTTCAAGTATTTAGTAGTGGTGAGGTTCAATACGTTATTTATTTGATTATATCTTTTTTCATTTTAAAAGTAGTATTTTAACTTTTGGTTTTATCTTAAAGGTTCAAGTTCAAGTGGTCAAGACAATGAAGGACGTAAAGTACTAAAGTTTTGTTATTGTTGGCACTTGGCAATGAGAGTTTGTCTTACTCATGAAGTGTGACAAAAAAAAAAAAAAGGAAGAGTAGTGGTGACTAGATGCTTTCCATGCAATGAAACTAGGGAGACAAATAACCATCTTTTTTTGCATTGCAAGTTCACTGCACAACTATGGAACCAATTCTTTAGTCTCACAAAGACTGAATGGACGATGTCCAACAATGCCTGAGCATACTGCTGATTTAATGAGTTGCTGGATGAGAAGAGGAGGAAGCAAGAGCCAGAAAAAAAGGTGGAGGATAATACCCTCATGTATATAGGGGGCAGTGGGAAGACAGAAATGGGAGATGTTTTACAGACAAAATCAAGTCCATTCATGATGTGAAATGGAAATTCTTAGTGTCTATTTTTTTGGTGTAAAGGAAACAGTATAGAGGAAGTAGATGAGCTGGTAGACTTTTTAGGTGCTCTATAAAGCTTAGAGTCTAACCTTACTAACTTGTAAATTTTTGGAGGTGGCTAACATTCCTTAATGCTGAGAAATACAATAGTACTAATTCTTAAAAAAATATATAAATAGATTCGGCCAACCATTGTGGCTATATTTTCTGCATCTTTTCATTCTGAGAAGCCCTTTCAAGGAAGTTGACTGCAAGTTACTTTACTTGGTGATGTCCCCGGGGCTTTGGTCCAATGGTAAAGGTGGTACAACCAAGATGTGTGATTACGTGTTTGAATATTGGTTGGTGAGCCAAGTCTAGTATTTAAGTAGAGGTGCAAACAGTATCCACCGAGTTTCTTGTTGGGAACCAATTTCAAGATTACTATAAAAACTATACTCCCTCCATCCCATTTTATGTGACGGTGTTTGACTAGGTAGGAGTTTACAAATGAAAGACTCTTGAAATTTACGGTCTAAAACAAGTCATACACATTTGTGTGACTATAAATTATCTCATTTTAAAGGTAAAATGGGAAGTTTAAAGTTAAATTGTTTCTAAATATGATGTCATTCTTTTTGGGACAGACTAAAAAGAAAAGTATGTCAAATAAAATGGGATAGGGGTATTACTCTATGATGGATGGATGATAAATATTCCAATTTACTACCACCACTTTTCTTGGGCACGCTTTCCTTCTGAAAGGTCCAGTACAAAGCTTCATCTAGAAGAATTGTTTGCCAAATGAAGATTTTCTACCTAGGAAAGGCAATAACTAGCATCTGGATAACTCCAGATTGATAGAGTAAGATGGAGTTCAAAATGAAAGAAGCGACTTTATTGTCAAATCAGTAATCCAATTATAACTACTAATGATGAATCAGCTAAATAGAAGTAAATATTTAAATCAAACAATCCAAAAATTATAGCTATCGATCATAAAGGAAAGCACATACCCACATTTTCTCTAGCTGGTGACGTGTGAAACCTGAAAGTGTTTGAATATCCTACCTGATTTTGTTATAGCAGCTGTATGAGTCCCACTGGTTGCAACATGGCATATTTCTGCATCCCAAGAGCCCTCAACTAATCTAGGGACCAGCTCTCTATGATAAACTTTATGACCAAGAGCGCCAAAGCCACCGTAACCCCTGAAAACTTCATTTTTTCCATAAAAGAATCAAGTTACAATGAACAAAACTACTGATTTGGATTTCACCAAGTCATTCAAACTATTTTTGTGATAAGGTCAAAGATTATCATTGAATGGGCATCAGGAAGATGCCAAGTTACAAAAGGTGTAACCAGTTAGCTCTAGTACAGAAGGGCAAAAAAAACATTTCAGCACTAGTACAAGTAGCCTAACCTAAAGCTAAGGAGGTAACAAAATGTCAAAATCCAAAAACATGTCAAACTCTCTTTCACTAAAGGAATTAGAATACTTCTATGTCAAACTCTTCAATGGAAAATGCATGACTCCACTGTTGATTCATCCAATAGCCTTATTTGCTAGCAGAAAGGCAATAATGTGTACAGTGCCATTCACAAAAGGGGTGATGATGTTTAAAGAGCCTATCAAAAAGGGGTGATGATGTCTATATACACAATGAAACTGTGATAAAGAGAGTTCACAGCTTCGCTTGTGCAACCATTATATGCATTCAAGCATCTTAGATTCACAACAATGATAATAAGCAATTGTTGCCAAAAATAGAGACTAAACATGGATTTTTTGGTTCAGCATCAGAATTACCTCCAAATTTTCTATACATCCCTTTCTATTACCAAAGTAAAACTAAGTGAAGGCCATACCACATAGACAAAATAGGGATTTTTTATTCAGCCCCCATACTACTTCAAAACTTTAGTACCTCCAGATTTTTTAGCAAAACTAAATGCAGGTCATGCTACAAAGTGATTACTACACAAGAAAACCTTGTTAACCATAGGCATTACCGCATTAGGCCTTTTTCCACGCTCCAGGTCAAAACAACAATAAATAATCTGAAACCGATATGCATTCATAAATCTTTCTTCTTTTTCTTCAGTTCACAGTTACACATATCAAAAGGTATGTCTTTAGACTACAAGTCGAAACAAATTATCAGAAGTGCCTAGATGGTAAATACACAAATTCACATGTTTATCTTGTGCAACCATTCTGTGTGTTCATTCATCTTAAGTTCACACTAACAATAATAAGTGACAGTTGTCATGACAAAGAGATTGTAAACTGACTAGAAGGGGTTGCTTGGGTAATAAGCAACTTCCACCTCCAACCCTAAAGTTGTGGTTTGAATCACCAACAAAAAGGTGGGAGCTCCTAGTGAGGGGTAAAAAAGTAAGGGTTTGTTTGGTTAAAAATAATGCTCAATAGAGTGCATTAGTAATGTTTGTATTAGTTATGATTGCATTAGTTATGCATAGATTTATTTTTATGCATTGTTTGGTTTAGTGTATTAAAAATAATATGCATTGTATAAGAATATTTATTTACAAAAATATTCTCCACAATTATGGTGGAAAAGATGTAAAAGTGATTTTGAGGGGTAATTGGATCTTTAACCATGCTAATACATGTATTAAATCCCTTTGCATTACTAATACCTAGAAATCCATGGTATTAGGTATTAGTAATACACTCCTCAATACACAATAGAGTGTATAATTAATGCATTTGTTATACATAGCATGAAAAAGTATACCAAACAAGGGACTACTAATACACAAAGCTAATGCATGCATTATTTTTGCTAATACACCTACCAAATGACCCCTAAGAGATTATAGATAGGATAGATATATGTTGGTTCAGCATAAAGATCATTCAAACTTTAATACGCCCACATAAATATTATCTTTACCAGAGAAAACTACATAAAGGACACACTATCAAGACAACTATACAGCTATGCAATGAAAATCTTACACTCTTTTCTGCTTACAAAACAGCTATATACACAAAAGAACAGTGATGAAGAAAGTTTACACCCTCTTCTGCGGCATTGTATGTGTCCATTCATATTAAATTCACAGTTCTAAATAAAAAGCAACAAGAGACTGTTGCCAAAATAAGAGACTAGAAATGAAAAAAATTCGGTTCAGCATCAAAATCATTTCAAACTTTCTCTCCATTTCTTTCTACTTACCAAGCAAAACCAAGTGAAGGCACTATATAAGACTAGACAGATATTCTTTTGGTCAAGACCCAAATCTTTTCAACCTCTAGGACCTCCACATTTCGTCCTATTGACCAGCGAAACTAAGTGAAGACCATAGAAAAAAGTTACTGTCAATGAAATCTTGTTAACCATAAGCATTAAGACCTTTCAATTCTCCATGTAAAAACAACAATGAGCAAACAGAGTAATACGTTAATTTATCACTTTCTTCATTTCTATCATAAGGAAAGGCAAACAATGCACAGTACAAGGATGGAATTGGTACTGACCAAGTGATGACCTGCCCAAGAGAGTTAAGAGCGATGGAATGAAGCCCACCAAGAGCAACACTTTGAACCGAGTCCAAATAAGTATTCAAAGTAGGAACAAAAACTGGGTTCTCATGGCCAAACCCAAGACGACCCCCATCACCTTTTCCCCAAATCCATAGATTCCCATCAACCAATAAAGCTGAATGGAAAAGCCCACAAGAAATTCCTATTTCAACGTCCACCTTTCCCTCATTAAATGAAGACGGCAGCAGCACAGAAGCAGAAGGAAGATGACCAAGAATAGGAGAAGATAATCGGAAAGTGGGAGACAAAGAAAATGAAGCAACAGGAGATGGGTATATTCGAATTTCCTCAATACCGCCACCCAATTGACCGGAAGCACCACTTCCCCAGGAATATAGTTGGACAGTGACTGATTGTTGTGAGTCGGTGAATTTAGATTCCCAAAGAAGAAGAAGAAGAAAGGTGACGCCACCACCGGAAAATGGGAAGAGCACGACGAGTGCGGTAATAGAATGCCATCAACGTCTGGCTCGACGGCGGAGTAGTGGTTGCTCAACTTCTCTAGTTTATACTCAAACTCAATGTTCTCCCATTAATGAAGCAACGTGCACATTCACCCCTACTCTTTCTACATATTTGAAACTTTTGTACCCTCACTTTCTGTTTGCTACAAAAGTTGATGATGTTTACAGAGCCTATCAAAAAGGGGTGATGATGTCTATATACACAATGAAACTGTGATAAAGAAAGTTCACAGCTTCGCTTGTGCAGCCATATATGCATTCAAGCATCTTAGATTCACAACTATGATGATAAGCATTAAGCAATTGTTGCCAAAAATAGAGACTAAACATGGATTTTTTGGTTCAGCATCATAATTACCTCCAACTTTTCTATACATCCCTTTCTATTGCCAAAGTAAAACTAAGTGAAGGCCATCATACCACATAGACAAAATAGGGATTTTTTATTCAACCCCATACTACTTCAAATTTTTTAGCAAAACTAAATGCAGGTCATGCTACAAACAGATTACTACACAAGAGAACCTTGTTAACCATAGGCATTACCGCATTAGGCCTTTTTCCATGCTCCAGGTCAAAACAACAATAAATAATCAGAAACCGATATGCATTCATAAATCTTTCTTCTTTTTCTTCAGTTCACAATTACACATATCTAAAGGTATGTCTTCAGACTACAGGTTGAAACAAATATGAGAAGTGCTTAGATAGTAAATACACAAATTCACATGTTTATCTTGTGCAACCATTTTGTGTGTTCATTCATCTTAAGTTCACAATAACAATAATAAGTGACAATTGTCATGACAAAGAGATTGGAAAATGACTAGAAGGGATTGCACGGGTGACAAGCAACTTCCACCTCCAACCCTAAAGTTGTGGTTTGAATCATCAAGGGAACAAAAGGTGGGAGCTCCTAGTGAGGGATAAAATAGTAAGGGTTCGTTTGGTGGAGTGTATAAAAATAATGCTCGATAGAGTGCATTAGTAATACTTGCATTAGTAATGTTTGTATTAGCTATGACTGCATTAGTTATACATACATTTATTTTTATTCATTGTTTGGTTTAGTGTATTAAAAATAATATGCATTGTATAAGAATATTTATTTACAAAAATATTCTCCACAATTATGGTGGAAAAGATGTAAAAGTGATTTTGAGGGGTAATTGGATCTTTAACCATGCTAATACATGTATTAAATCCCTTTGCATTACTAATACCTAGAAATCCATGGTATTAGGTATTAGTAATACACTCCTCAATACACAATAGAGTGTATAATTAATGCATTTGTTATACATAGCATGAAAAAGTATACCAAACAAGGGACTACTAATACACAAAGTTAATGCATGCATTATTTTTGCTAATACACCTACCAAATGACCCCTAAGAGATTATAGACAGGATAGATATATGTTGGTTCAGCATAAAGATCATTCAAACTTTAATACGTCCACATAAATATTATATTTACCAGAGAAGACTACGTAAAGTCCCCCAAGGCCTAGCTTGAGTGGCAAAAGGTGGAGAATTTGTGGCTTAGGTCGCAGGTTCATGCCCCACACCATGCAAAGCGAAGCCCGGTATTTAAGTGGAGAAGGGTAGAGGGGTGGGCCCATTATCCAGCGAGTTTAGAAGGTTGTGATTGGTCCAAAGGGCAAGTCACAGACGGATTTCTCGGTCATCAAAAAAAAAAAAACTACGTAAAGGACACACTATCAAGACAACTATACAGCTATGCAATGAAAATCTTACACTCTTTTCTGCTTACAACAGCTATATACACAAAAAACATTGATAAAGAAAGTTTACACCCTCTTCTGCGGCATTGTATGTGTCCATTCATATTAAATTCACAGTTCTAAATAACAAGCAACAAGGGACTGTTGCCAAAGTAAGAAACTAGAAATGAAAAAATTTTGGTTCAGCATCAAAATTAGTTCAACCTTTCTCTCCATTCCTTTCGACTTACCAAGCAAAACTAAGTGAAGCCACTATTTAAGACTAGACAGATATTCTTTTAGTCAAGATTTAAATATTTTCAACCTTTAGGACCTCCACATTTCATCCTATTGACAAGCGAAAGTAAGTGAAGACCAAATAAAAAAGTTACTGTCAATGAAATCTTGTTAACCATAAGCATTAAGACCTTTCAAGTCTCCATGTAAAAACAACAATGAGCAAACAGAGTAATACGTTAATTTATCACTTTCTTCATTTCTATCATAAGGAAAGGCAAACAATGCACAGTACAAGGTTGGAATTGGTACTGACCAAGTGAAGACCTGCCCAAGAGAGTTAAGAGCGACTGAATGAAGCCCACCAAGAGCAACACTTCGAACCGAGTCCAAATGAGTATTCAACGTAGGAACAAAAACTGGGTTCTCATGGCCAAACCCAAGACGACCCCCATCACCTTTTCCCCAAATCCACAGATTCCCATCAACCAATAAAGCTGAATGGAAAAGCCCACAAGAAATTCCTATTTCAACGTCCACCTTTCCCTCATTAAATGAAGACGGCAGCAGCAAAGGAGCAGAAGGAAGACGACCAGGAATAGGGGAGGATAACCGGAAAGTGGGAGACAAAGAAAATGAAGCAACAGGAGATGGGTATATTCTAATTTCTTCAATACCGCCACCCAATTGACCGGAAGCACCACGTCCCCACGAATATAGTTGGACAGTGACTGATTGTTGTGAGTCTGTGGATTTAGATTCCCAAAGAAGAGGAACTTTGGATGATGATGAAGAAGAAGAAGAAAGGTGACGCCGCCACCGGAAAATGGGAAGTGCACGACGAGTGCGGTAATAGAATGCCATCAACGTCTGGCTCGACGGCGGAGTAATGGTTGCTCAGCTTCTCTAGTTTATACTCAATGCTCTCACTTCTCCCATTGATGAAGCAAAGTGCACTTTCACCCCTACTCTTTCTACATATTTGAAACTTTTTCACCCTCACTTTCTGTTGAGACAATTAAATGAAAGTTCTCCATTAAGTTTGGGTTTTGTTTTGTGTGATACTTTGATCAAGAAAGGATCAAATTCATTTTAAAATGTAATTAAGTAAAATTAAGACCAAATTAACATTTTCAAAACTTTTAAATCTTTCATAAAATACAAAAAAAATCTTCATTTTTCAACTTTTATAATTCTATCAAAACCATTTTTTTTTTAAAAAGTAAAAGAAAATAGAATTCTCTTCTTTTCCCAACGTTCTCTCTTCTCTTCTTCTTCTTCCTTAGAAAATCCAAAAATTCGACTATCAAAACAAATATTCTCCCCCATTATCTTATCTTCCTCCTCATCTTCGACCGTGACTCTCTCTTCTTTCTGAACTGAAGATTGTGTTCGACTTAAAATGGGTAAGTCATTTTTTTGAAAGATTTTACAATTTTCGAACAATACCAAATTTTTTTCTTGGGTTAATGAACAATAAATCGTTCTATAGATATGAAATTGAATAATAGTGTAATGGTACCTATTATTTATTGTTTTTGAAAGAAAATCAACAAACCCAAAAAAACCCTAATTTTGAGGAAATATATATGTATTGTTAACATTCCGTGAAAATTTTTTTTTTGTTGCTTTTGTTGTTTTTTTGTGACCATTTTATTCATATGATTTTAGAAATATAGTCTTGTTCAATTTTCCAACATATATTTCATTTGTTAAAAGATGTGTCGTATGTTGCTACATTTTAGTGATATGTTGGTATATATTCCAACAGAGTTGTCATATGTTGGAACATATCACCTATGTGTTAGGGCAACAAAATGGTCATATGTAGTAACAGAAGATTCATTTGTGGCACATGAAGATTCATTTGTGGCAACAGAAGGTACATCTATGGCAACATAATATCCATTTGTGTCAACAGAAGTATAAATTGCTACCCATTATTATTTTATAATCAATTGTAAACTCTCAACCTTTTTTTATTTACCTTGTAGATGAAATGATACAGGAAGCTTCATCCATGACAACAGCTCAATCTTCTATTTCTCAATCACTATCTATAATTAGTGAAAGAAAAAAATCAATGACTAGTGTTCCAGTATCACACTCAAACTCAAAAGGCAAGGAGAAGGAGGAGGAGCAGGAGGAGGAGCAGGAGGAGGAGGAGGAGCAGGAGCAGGAGCAGGACAAGGAGGAGCAGTGTAATGACCCTCCAGGTCATTTGTGATTTGTTGGGACTGACAGTTCGATCACCTGGTCGTTCGTTTGGTCTTGGTGCGAGTTTATGTGTTTTGGAGCTTATGAACCTTGAACGATCATTTTCGATCAAAGGTTCAAGAAGATTACATCGGAATCCAATTCTGACGATTCCATCAGCTCCGGAAGGGTCATTTTAGGTTAGTAGCATGGTCGACATGACTCCCGAGGTTTTCAGTGTGAGTCGGTGCAATTAGGCATTTTAACTTTAAGTTTAAGCCTAAGTTTGACTTTGGTCAACATTCTGAGTAAACACGCTCGGATGAGAATTCTGTTAGTGCGGTTAGCTCCGGAATGTCGAGTTTGGTCTAGATTGACCCTTCTTTTGTGTCCCGAGGTTTTCGATATCTTTCCGAGCCTTTTTGTGGGTTTTGACTTAAAATGGCCTTTGGAAGTGGGACCCACTTTTTATCGAGATGACCTTTGATGGAAATTTTGACTGATTCGTTGAGTCCGGAATATCAAATTTGTTATGGTTGCATATCTCGTTTGCGTGCACGGGGTTCCGAACGAGATCGGAGCACCCCGTCGGAGTTTTTAGTTGTTGGAAAAATTGCAGAAAATCTGTTATATAATGCAGATTTTCAGCAACATTTCCCAAAAACTTAAACCCTCATAACTCTCTCATCTTTTATTCGATTTAGGCGATTCGAAGTGCGGGAGCTTCGTATTTTTGGTGGCTTCGTTGTAGGGTGTTCGAAAGTAGTTGGGTGCGCGTAGTTTGAGGTAATTTTGCGATAAAACCTGACTGCAGTACCTTTTTCGAGCCTTTGTTTTGTTATTATTGTTTTGGTCATATCTCACTCATTTTAGCTCGTTTTGGGTGATTCAAAGTCCCACATGTTGAAAATTGTCGAGACTTCATCGTAGAGTGTTCAAAGAGTGCTGGGCACCTTTCGATTTTCGTTTATTTCGAGTTTGGACTGCTGCTGCTTTCTTTTTTTAGTTGATTAAAGTGTGGTTTCTTGCTTGTTGGTTTTTGCTATGTTTTGAGCCTCGAATTGTGTTCCATTTTGGGACATAAGTTTGGGGTGCTGTTTAGGGTCTCTTGACGGAGTCAAATTTGGACAGTTCAGTGCGGGTCCCACGATTCTCATTTTGACTCCAAAATTGACCCGTTTCCGTTTGTTGTGATTTTGGTGTCTAAACGACTGTACTAACGTTGTGACCCTATATTTGATAGAGTGACAGCGTTCAAAGGTCGTTCGAGAAGAAAAAGCTCTGGTAAAGTGATTTGGAGAGCGCGCGATCGGCCTTAAGATAGGTTACGGCTTCCTTTCTTTTAGATTGAGCTTAATTATGTAAAAACATGTCGATTGGAGTGAATTGGGGGTGGGTACCAGTTTACTACCTTACTTTGATTAGATACCTTATGTTAGGATCGATTGGCCACATTTCGGGTATAGTATCATGTTAATCGGTTTAGTAGAGTTGCATGCTTATGTGCTAAATGCTATTGTATGCTTGTATGCTATGTATTGTATGCCTTGTTCATCCTTAACCGTAAGCATGATGTCCTTAGTCTAGGTTAGGCTAGCATTATCTTAGACTTATGACCGTGTGGGCTGGATAGTCTTGACTTGCTTCCGACGTCGTTCGGATGACTTAGCTCCTTGTAGACTGGAATAGCATACTTGAGTCTGATAGTTTGAGCCTTAGATTAGGCATTATTGCTACTTGCTGCACTTCTGTATCTTCTCCCTCTCATCTGACGCATTCTCGAAGGTTTGGTGCATCACTCGAGGCGTGGGATTGAGATAGTATAGGCTTGGAGCCTTTTCTGTGATGTCTTAGAGTGGACGGCGTTCCACGGTGGTTGTTGTTGGATTGAATCCTATTAGAGATACCATCACCCCCGGGGTCGTTCTTTCTAGCTGGGCTGGGAACGTATCGTTGGCTGGGTAGACTAGGTGATATCGGCGATCGCCCCCGCGCCTCTCTTTCTAGCTGGACTGGGAGTGTGCTGCTGGCTGGGTGTCCCCGGGTCGCTCTTTCTAGGTGGGCTGGGAGCTGACTGCATGGTAGGACGACTCGCGATATCTACCTCACTCACGGGTCCCTCTTTCTAGCTGGGCTGGGAGTGGACTGTTTGGTTAGGTGCCCCTAGGGTCACTCTTTCTAACTAGGCTGGGAGTGCACTACTGGCTAGGTGGAGTCTGATGGATTATCTTAGTTACTTTGGGCTAGGAGCCCGATTTTCTTCTTTCTCAGTAGACTTAGCTTTTCTGTGTACCTGTCGGGCTTATGGGGGTTTGTTCAGGTTTTATTTGAGTGTTTGCTTTCTTTTCTTATCCGTTTTGACCTATCTGTGTCTAGATTCTATCCTTTCTTATTGTTTTTACCCTTTTTGCTCAGTTGGCCTATGATGCCTACTGAGTACCTGTTGTGTTGGTACTCATGCTACGCTCTGCATCTATTTCGTGATGCAGGTCCCAGTACCAGTTACCAGCGGTGATTAGTTCCAGCCTTCTTTTGCAGCTGTGATTCGGAGACGAGGGTGAGCACTTGGCGTTTTGGGGTTTGTTTTGTCTCCTTCTTTTGTTTTAGCTAGTCTTGTTGCCCTTGAGACACGCTCTGTTGTGGTCCACTTTTGGGACTTGTACTATTTATTAGATAGCTCTGTACTAGTGATTTCCAGGTTCTAGGAGGGATTTCTGTATATGTTTATTTTGGGTTGCTTTCGCCTTGTTATTCTTGTTTAGATTATTGTTTTCGCTAGTTTCTGCCCTTTCGCTCATTGCTTGATGTTCTGGGTTACGGGTTGGCTTACTTACTGGTAGGGTATAGTAGTTGTCATCATGACTCGAGAAATCGGGTCGTGACAAGCAGGAGAAAGAGGAGGAGGAGGAGGAGAAGGAGCAGGAGAAGGAGAAAGAGCAAGAAAAGGAGAAGGAGAAGGAGAAAGTGAAAAAAGAAAGCGAAAGAGAAAGAGAAAGAGAAAAAACAAAAAAAAAGTCGAAGTCGTCAGTTGTGATGTGAAGCAACAATATCCATTTGAAGATTTTAACATTGACGGCGAGGGTCCAATTGAACTAATGTCATCCTTCTCGCAATGGATAAATGAGGGTCTTTACAAGCATCATGCAAAAAAGTAAAATCGTTCAACTATTATTAGTATTTCTTCTTGTTGTCCGCTAAATAATTATTTATAATGATTACACAATTGCAGAAGAGACAAGGATGATCACTACTTAGCCAATTGCTCGGATCTTGAGTTCAAACAACTTGATTTGGTAGTTGCATTTTCAAAGAAGAAGGATTGGTTTTACGTAATGTCTCAACCCAATAAGTGTTGGACTGATCAGGTAAATTCATGCCCACTTTTATCTTTTGATTAAGACATGAATACATACAAATAAATTGATACAGAAATACACTTGTTGATGCATCTGTGCAGTATGTGAATGCCATTTTATACTATTTGCAGAAGAAGTCGAAGCAACAGAGTCATTCTAAATATCGATATACCACTACTAATTATTTTTTCAAAACATACATTGATAATTCCAGTGTTGTTTCTGAATATGAGAATAAAATCGTTGGCACTATCAAAGGGTTTGGTATACCTGGTGGATTGCCTTGGCACCTCATCTAGGACTAAGAGAAAATTGTG